CTTTCTAGTCTTCCGACCACCCCCAAAGCGGCTTTACACGAGCATGCCAGCATTCGCGCCTTTGCCCACACACATTCCACCAGCAAAGCCCCATTTGAACAGAAATAACACATTCATAGACACTCCACACCACCGATGGCATAGCACGGGAGCCAATTTGGGGTTCAGTAATCTTGCTCACATGTGGCAGGAAGACGGATCGAACCAACAACCTTCCGATTAGGGGATGACCGCCCTGTCCTTCTCACGCAAATAAGCGCCCAAATTGGCTGAACTTCGACAATTTCAAAAAGATCAGTAAGGACCCCTGAAAAAATTGACGAGAGGAATTGATGAAATAAGAAACAGGCCGGATCTAAGAGAGGAGTCATTGGTTTTAAAAATGTTGTAGGAACTGATGTCAATAGGGACGGAGGAGGGACGCATGGATCGACAGTTTTTAAAAGGATCTGTAGAAGAAAGTAGGAGCCCAATCAGGAGCAAATCAGACAGTAAAGTGGGAGCGACTGGAGGCAGGGGGGCAGAAACAGTGAATTGGGACGTAAGACCTTAGACCATCGATCTTGCCAATGAAAAAAGACAGGAATTTTTCACAGTCAGCAGGAGAGGAGGCATGAATAGCAGGAGGAGATGGAGTTACAAGCTGGTTGATAGTAGTAAACAAAAACCTTGGGTTATGTTTATTGCTAACAATCAGATCAGAAAAGTAGGCAGCTCGCGCATCTTTAATAGTCTGGTTCAGGTTAAACAGTAGTTCCTTCATGTAGAGGCGGTGTACCTCAAGTTTGTGCTTTTTCCAATTTCGCTCGGCCTTCCTATATTCCCTTCTTTGTTGTCTAATGTTATCATTAACATCACACCTGGACCAGATCTGACTTCCAAACTGTCTGTGATGACACAAATCATGGCCGTAAGCCCCGCCCCTCAAAATCAGCTGCTCAGTGAGTACACAGAAACTTTCCACTTTCACAGTGTGAAACAAACGCCAACCTTTAGGTACCACCCATACACACCAAGGTTGGGTCGGAATACAAGAATCTGACAAATGGCCTCTCATAGAATGGGTGTTCAGAGTTCCCATGTGTCAAAAGGGAATTTGAGGTCCTGGGTTCCTCCAGGAACCATGACCAGGTCTCCAGAAGTCTCTACATGTCCCAGGACAGGTTCTCATTACTCGGGGTACCACCAATGTAGTGGAGTCTCCAACTAACAAATCTCATTTTGACAAACAGGAATATTCCTGACAAACGGAACACTTGTCCGACACGGGATCTGAGAAATGGGAATGTGGGCTTCTGACGTTTAGGAGGAATCTTTGGGGTGGTTTCCCCAAAAGTTGTCCCAAAATGTATGTTATAATATGAGGTTATAATATAAGGTTATAATATGAGATTATAATATAAAGTTATAATATGAGGTTTTAATATAAGGTTATAGTATAAGGTTATAACATAAGGTTATAATATAAGGTTACAATATAAAGTTATAATATGAGGTTATAATATAATGTTATAATATGAGGTTATATTATAAAGTTACAATATAAAGTTATAATATGAGGTTATAATATAAGGTTATAATATGAGGTTATAATATAAGGTTATAAGGTTATAATATAAAGTTACAATATAAAGTTATAATATGAGGTTATAATATAGGGTTATAATATAAGGTTATAATGTAAGGTTATAATATAAAGTTATAATATAAGGTTATAATATAGGGTTATAATATAAGGTTATAATATAAGGTTATAAGCCCTGTGTCTGCTCATCCTGCTGCAACTGGATGACTGTGTGCAGAACCTTTTTAAAATCAAGTCTAAAGAACCCTTTTAAAATCATGTTTAAGTGTGAAGGACCTTTTTAAAGGTTACAGTTTGTCTGAAAATGAAGAAGAATGAACCTGACAACATGAAGAAGAAACATCTTAAGAGAACGTTAATGAATCATCAACACACAGACACATCTGAATGCAACACAGCACAGGCTTTATAATGACATCACTTCCTGTTCACAGCTTACATCATAATATCCGAAAACCTTCAACTCTGGACTTTAGCACCAAAACCCTTGACTACCAAACAGGGACTAACCCTAATGCTAGTGCTAATGCTAGTTAACAGAGTCAGAGAGTATGGAGGTGGAGCTACAGAACACATAAGATTACATCATCAACAGGAGGCGTGGCTTCACAGTGCAGAGGCGTGGCTACAAGGTGCAGTTGGCCTCTGGAGAGAGTCGACATTTTGCCACCGTCAGGTAGGTCTCCACCTGTAAACACAGACATCATCATCATCATCAGTACATCTTCATCATCATCACTACATCTCCACCTCCTCCTCTTCCTCACCTTATGCATGTCTTTTTTGAAGCAGGCCAGCAGTTCGTAGGTTCGTCTCAGCGACTCATCGGCTCCAAGACTTTGGTAATAGTTTCCGTACGGAGCCAGTTGGAGGGTGGAGCTGTCAGGGAACATCTCTGCTCCGTCCTGATTGGCCTGCAGGATCAGGTGGTTACTCAAACACGTAGGCTGGGTACTCACATGACACTATGATTAACCTGTGTGTGTGTGTGAGCGCACTCACCCCGATGAGCAGCAGGATCCCGGTCTTCAGTTCAGACAGTTTGGGTGAAATCTGGTTCCTGGCAGCAGGACCTACAGACAGAGAACGACTGGGGAACTCCCAAGACTCAATCAGTCGATAGGAGATAGACAGCAGCTTCAGAACCTGGAAGCAACCGATCAATAGAGTTAGAGTTAAAGGGGAACTTGGCAACTCTAGCCATTTCTTCGCTGGTTTTCACTTTTGTCATTGCATGTTTTTCTCAACGAGCTCCCCCTACAG